GATCTCTGTCTCTGTGACAGGACACCAAGCAAAAGTTCAAATAAAGAACAATGTAGAAAATAACGAATGGGTCGGAGCACTCATAAATCTATAAATGAGATAACGAACTTTAGTTATGAAGGGTTTCTGGAAACGTGTGTTAACGATTGATCTTAAGTATGAGACAATGAACTACTTACCAATCCGTCTACTGACTTCATGGGAAGTGTCACCAGAGACATGAATGTCGCTGCTGAGGTAAGTGAACCTCTGACACACTACTGATGGCTGTGCCAAAAAAGTCATTAAATGCCTGGATCTTGGTCTTTAACTAGGACACCCGCAATCTCAGAAACTCAGACTCCTCGCTCAGTCTCTTGAGAGCCCCGATCAGAGCCTCCATTGATTCCGCTAAGGTCACAGCATCGTTGGCAAAGTCAAGATCAGTAAATCTTTCTTCACCAACAGACGCCCCACAGCTGCTGGACCCCACAACCCTGCCCAACACCCAGTCCATACAAGCACTGAACAGAGTAGGAGCAAGAACACACCCCTGGAGAACCCCAGAATTAACTGGGAAGAACACAGAGGTTCTCCCTCCACTCTGCACAGCACTCACAGTACCAGTGTACAGGCCGGCCATGACGTCCAGTAAGTTCATGGGGATCCCACAAAGTCTCAGGATGTCCCACTGGGCAACTCGATCAACTGAGTCAAACGCTTTATGAAAATCGACAAAGGCTCCAAAGAACCTCTGCCGATATTCACACTTGCATTCGATCAGATCCCTCAGTGCAAGAATATGGTCGATTGGAGACTTCTTAGCTGTAAAACCAGAAACCAGACTGTTCCAGTCGCTGACAGACAAGCAAGTGTTCAGGGATCCTGTTAAGGATGACCCACCCTTCCCTTTAAAGATAGGGACCACAAGTCCGTTTTCCAGTAAGCTGGAATGATGCCTGTCTCCCAAATGGAAGCAAAGATTGCCTGCAATGCCAGGAGGACAGCCTTACCACCAGCCTGGAGAAGTTCACCCCGGATACCACAGATCCCTGCGGCCTTCCCTACCCCCAGCTGATTCACCACCCATGCAATCTCAATGAGATTGGGTGGTTTACAGCTAATCGGAGGGTCAGCTTTGAGAACCGTGGACCCAGAGATGTCCACCATCCTAGCCGGAGGGTCAGCTTTAAACAACTGCTCAAAGTAGCCGGCCCAGCAGGTCACAACTGCAGTGTGATCCATAAGGACTGTCCCATCACCTGCCCTGACTGCAAGTCTCTGAGGAACAGATTCAGATGTGCGTAATGCTTCGATTCCTCTGTAAGCAGGACGTGGGTCACTAGACCACTTAAAACTTTAAATCTATACTTAAAACATTAAAATCTGTTTTCATTAGCGTTTCAGGAAATTTAAATGTTCTACAGAGCAGATTGTGTACCTGTGTTTTATGTTGGTCTTATGCCTTGATATCTTGTTGTGATTTTATGATTTCTATGTAAAGCACTTTTGGTCAGCAAGGCTGTTGTTAAAGTGCACATACTGTAAATAAAGCTGACTTGACTATTGTTTTTTTGGTTTAGGAGTTCGGATTTGCCCCTATTCAATAAAAAGCTATGGATTGCCCTGCAGCTGGACCTTGGAATGATTCATTACAATTACATACATTGTAAACAGTAAATGTAGATGATTATTTCATATGGATGTATTTAAAACTATCAATCCAGTGCTGTGACCATTAAAATCATTTTACATACATATTAACACATTGTTTAGTGTTTTTGTTTTATTGTATACTGCGTAACGTAATATTATTTTACTTTTTTTAGGTGTGGAAGAAGTTGATCTGACAGGACATGTCAGCGTGGGGGGGACAGTGAAGCTGCCTTCAGTCCTGGGGAGTCTGAAAGTAAAAGACTTCGACTTTCTGAAATGGAGGTTTAATAGAAGGATCATAGCTGAAATGTCCAGTGGGCAACCAAAAGAAAATCTTCATGCTCAGTTCAAAGGACGACTGCAGCTGAGCCCTGACTTCAGTCTAACTGTGAGGGAGCTGAGACTGGAGGACAGTGGGGAGTATGAGCGTGAAGGAATGAAGGAAGATGGTTCACAGATTCCCTCATATAAAATCCAGCTGCATGTTTATGGTAAGAAAATAAATTTAATACATTTCTGTTTTATTTCTTAAATAAAAAACCCACATTTAGGTATTTGAAAAAGTGTAATAGAGTCATACCATTTTAATTAAACAAATTTCCAAAAATATTTTGCATTACCACTTTTGATTTTGGTGAAATTTGGCATGTGAATTACACATAACTTCCAGGGGCCTGTATCACAACAACAACAACAACAACAAC